CTGGACTCAAGCAGTGTAGAAGAAGACCCGTCGTCTAAGAATGCGTATGTATTGATCTGCTGTCCGTTACCGTGAATTGTCACCGGTAAGTAGCGAAACAGGGAATATGCCACCGAATTGTGTAGATTCTGGTGTACTATAGGCTTTGGTTTCTCGGTGGACCCTGATGCGATGGCTGTTTCCTTTTTACCAACTGGTGGACTCCTATCGGTGTGCAGAAGTTTATGATGGTGCATTTGGCAACCGTCTACGCCACATTCCTTCTTAGTCCAGCATGGCCATTTCCGATGAGGCACAAGGCAACTCCTGCACAGGTTCTTCTGCTTAACTGCCTTCCACTTACCATCGGTGTCTAGTGCCTTGAACTGCATGCAATCCGCAATCTCGTGGTTGACTTTGGCGCAATACAGACATGTTTTCTTCGACAACTCCGATCCGTTCTTCTCAGCGCTTGTCGATAACTTCCTTTCCGGTTGATCCTCCGAATGTACATACAGTTTTGGCTTCTCCTTTGGTGACTTGTTGGGTTTTGAGCTCAAGGTGAGAGTGTCGAGTGGTAGTGTAACATCCGAGGCCATCACTACTAACTCAGACATGAAAGCGCTGAACGTCGCCAGGTTAACGTAGGAGTACCTACTTTTGTAGTAAGACCACTGCATTTTGAGCTGAGGTGGAAGTTTCTCGATAAGCTCATGAAGCAATGTCGGATTCCACAGATGATCTACGAGGTTGGCGATGGACATGTGATCCACAACATTCTGTACTGCTAGACCGAACGTGATCTGGGACTGCAGGTTGTCGGACTTCGGCGGAGGAACTGCGCGTAACTTTTGGAGAAGAGAGTGAATCAAAACTTCAGGACGGCCGTACAACCTCCGTAATATATCGATAACGAAGGGTACCGACTGTGGCATCAGCAACCTGCTTCTCACTGCTTCTAAAGCATTTCCCTTCAAACAGCGTTGTAGTCTCGCCAGATTCTCCGAATCACTAAACCCACATGTCTCTGTAGAGTTACAGAACGAACTGTAGAAGAGCGGCCAATCCTGGGGGTCGCCCGAAAAGTTTGGAAGCTCTCTCGGTATCACTTGTCTTGCAGCTAGTTGTTCACTGGAGGGCCCACGAAGCACCGGCACAGTTGACTGTTGGAACTGTTGCGTGAACTGCTGTTGTTGATATGGACCAACTGGAGGAATACCGGAGTATGCTGAACTCGAAACTGGTTGTGAAGCCGTCGTCTCGGGCTGAACTGGTGTAACAATGGTGGCAGGTGGCACCGAAATGTTAGAAGCTACCGGCACACCGCTGTTGTTGATGACCCCCAACGAAGCTGCAGCTGGAAATTGTAGTCGTGTTCCACCCACACCAGTGCTGGTGAGATTAGCGTTGATCCAGGTTGGACTGCAACCGGAACTCAGCATTGGTTGACCAACAGCCGGCGCTGCCGAACTTGGATTTTGAAATGAATACGGATATGTTCCGGCGAAACGAGATGCTGCAGACATCGCAGGAGCGCTCGATATACTTGTTGATACCAAAGGACTCGCATTTCCACTTTGAAAGCAGTTCCCAGTTGAGTTGGCAGCTACCGTCGTGTTGTTCACAGCAGACACACCGTAAGCCGAGTATGTAATTCCATACGATGGAACTCCGACCAAAGACGAGCTGGTGACGTTGTGTTCAGGAACACTTACATTGTGTGATCGACCCAACGCTGATAGTGGTACGGAACTGTTGCCGGGGACGATTGGATATATGTTACTAGCAGCCTGCGGAAGACTACTGACAACTCCTTCACTCAAAGACATTCTCGGCGCACTGCTTGTTACCAGACTGCCAACGAACTTTGGCCCCAGGCCGATGGAAGTGGAATTCGCCTTGTCACCGCCTGCAGGTGCACTACTGTCGACAATCGGAACGTTACTGATTACGACTGGCACTGTGCCTTTGGCGACTGTTTCCAGAGGCGGAACATGAGACGATTTGGGGGGGAAATTAATAACCGACGGAGGAGCACTTCTGTAGACTTTCGGTGGAGCCAAGTTTTGGGCCATCACGTTTAAAGTATCAATTCTGAACGGGGAATCCCATCTGAGAAACCGCGATGTACTTACCGGCGGTTGTTGGATTGCTATTTCAGTGCGAGATACGAAATTACCGGTTGATAAGGCTACAGGGAAAACGTCTGTCCCACAGCCTGTTCTTCCGAAATCTTCTACAGAATTCGGTGTGGAAGTTGATGCTGGACCAGTAGCTACTATTGCAGGAATGTTATCTGCATTCATCGGGATGAACTTTGAAGATTTTATGGTTGACTCTGCGATAGGAATAGATGCTGGAATCGCCGACTGTTGAGCTGCTTCTGAAGTTACGATCGATGGCGACATGCTGCTGGGTGGTGCTACTGTCACTTGTTGTGATGCACCCACTTCCTGCCCGGTAAGCCATTTCCGTACTTTCTCGCGACTGGCTCGACTGCTCAGCCTGGATCTCCTACTGGCACTATCCTCTGCATTGTCCGCTTCTGCCAGGAGCAAAGCATACTTTTGCTTCAGAAAGTTTTCCTCTTCCTCAGCGATTCTCATCCTCGCAGCTGCCTGAGCTGCTTCTTCTTCCAGGATCCTTCTTGTCCGCATGGATTTCTGCTCTTCTAGCATTCTCAGATTGAGATCTACCCTAGATGAGCGTTTGCTTGACATCGAATGACCAGTTGACACTTGGGACTGCAACACAGAATCCTCCTCACGGCACTGGTTGCATCTCCAACTGCGATCAACTTCGGCTATGGAGTCTGTCACTCCCGCGCATCCAAAATGCATCCATATCATGCAGGTATCACAACCGACGAGATTGTCTGCCGTATCTGGTCGATCGCATTTGACGCAATGTTTGCCTTCCATCTTTCGTTCGATCGACTTGATCCAAAAAGAAATCCTTTGAAGTTTGTTTCGGATTGGGAGAGAAACGCGTCCCGATAGCAGGTTGTACCCAGCTTCAAAGGATTTCGTGTTCTCCTCTAATCTAACCCGAAACTATCTTCCAAATTTGGAAATTATTTAATTCCGTACTTGTAACAAGTATTAAGTTTCTAATTTTAGGCAAAACGTCACCCAGTGCAAAGCTGAAGTAATTGCCACCTAGTCACTTTGCATTTACTAGATCATAATTTTATCTAATTAGCCTGATTAGGCAATAATTAAGCGTTACTTTTAAGAATTTAACTTTAATTTTCCTTGTTTTTATTCGTTGTTTCACGTTTGTGTTTCTTCTGTGTCAACGATTTTTATGTTGCCTGTGACGTTTGAGAGCCACGTCACCCGTTGTACTCTCCCTGACGTTTTCGCTGACAGGTCTTGGGTGATACGGAACTCACTCAGCTACCAAACGAGACTGCCCTGTGGTTCCGTTACATTAACCTTAATATCTACACTGAAACAAAGACCATAGTAAGGAATACTATTTTGCAGAAAACACTTATTTTCAATATAACTACGCTTAATGCCGTTAAATCTACCATGATTTCAGTATAGTTGACTAAAAATATAATCAAATTTACTACCATGCTGTCAAAACTACTTTGCTTACTCAAACGGCATAGTAGTTTTGATAGAAAAAATAGTAAAATTAAATGAATTTCGTTTCTGCACAAATCTATTGGTGGGAGTATTTAATTTAAACCATCAATATAGTATTTTTGCCAATAGATTTTGTTTCTGTGTACTTCTTCATATTCATCATCTAAATTTACCTTATTATTATCATCCGTGGGTGAGGCATACTGGATAGTTTCAAGGCTGTGTTTTGGCACCGGTTTAACATGCTTCCAAAATCCCTCGCCACCCATCTGTTCGCTTACCGTTGTAACAAAAGGCCGCCGAATGTAGTCACCAACCGGTGACCTTACATGGTCATACTCGCCGGTCGCCGGTTGAGTCTTGGCCCGTTCATGACGGTCCCGCCCTGATGGCAGCTTGGGCTTTGAAGAAGCCGTCTTAATGCGCCGATACATAGTCGCAAGCTGGCCGTCAGGGTCGGACCGCATGAAACCTGGCAAAATAATCGGCTTAGCATTCTTGCCGGACCGGGTCTGACCGGCATCACGACCATTTGTCACCTTTCTCGCAAACATTCTGGATTTTCTTCTATTTAGATGCTGGGATGGGGAGCGATTGCAGAAACGTCCGTCTTGAAACTTTCTCAGAAGCCTCTTAACGGTTGTTAGGAGCAGCGTTACTTATATAGGCTTTTGGAGGGTGAAAATTATGTTAACATGGTGTTGCTATGGTAGCGACTGGATGTCGATGCGCGTGGGGGGGTAAATCGTGAAAATCGGTTGTTTTGATCAAAGTAGGCATGCACTGAAACGTCATTTTTTTTTCTCAATAGACAACATCAACAGGAATTCAGCTGAAAAACAACGTCCGAGTTTAAGACAAGAGATAACTTCGCCAGAAAGCCAACGAAGCGCTGGAGATTATCCTCAGCGGCTGGAAATCGATAATCTGAGCGTGGGAGGTCCCGGCGGATCGTCCTCTTCGGTGTCAACTTGCAGCAGTGCGGTGGATCAGCAAGCCGGTAGCAGATCTGGCAACCCGCACAGACAGACTTCCGGTTTGTCGAAAACGAGCGGCCCGGTGCTGATCCTGGAAGACTGCCAACTGGGTGCTCCACTGTTTTACTCTTCCGGAAAGCGTGGCTTCTACAGTTCTCGGCAAGGTTACCCCTCGAGCGAGCCACTGAATGCATTTAGGAATGTCGGCAGGTATGGTAGCTCTGTTGTAGATTGCGGTATTGAGAGGGTCATTGATTTGCTTTGGAAACTATCGTGTTTACAGATTAATCGGGCTGTGCTTGCTGCAAAATGAACTGTTCCCGTTGTTCCTGCAACGGCACGTGCTCAAGTACATCCTCGGCCGGCAGATTCGCTTCCACGATTTGGTCTTTTCCGATCCGGTCGTGTAACACAGCAATAGATCAACTGACGGTGGAAGACATGAGACTGCTGTTGAATGGCGTCGGAGACATCCACTTTGGTACACTGATCTCAATAGCGAATCGAACGAAAGCAGCGACAAGTTGCTGAAATTTAAACGATGGTTCTGGAGTGTGGTGGAAAAAATTAGCGACAGAATTTGGTAGGTTTCAATTTGTTTGATTCGAGACATCTACTGCAGGAATTTCCGGCATGCAAAATCTCTAGTTCTAATCAATAATCGTTCAGTACAGGTCTACTTCTGGACAGGATCGCCAGCCCTGCCAGCTTCCGAGGAAGGTTTCCAACCGATGCCATCGGTTACGATCCGGCGGGCGTACGATGCCCATCTCCCGACTGCAAACACCTGCATCTCCCGGTTGTACACCCCTCTCTACTCGAGCAAGGCCGTTCTCCGACACAAGCTGCTTTTGGCGATTAAAACGAAATAACTTTGGATTCGTTTAGATTATGATGATCACCCTACACATCTACACAAGAGAATGTCATATTATGAGGTACAATTTTACGCTTTATTTATTTATTCGTTTTATTCTAACGGACGTTTTTATGCTACAGGAAATCAATCGAGGGATACTTAAAGTGTGTACTTGTGCTTCAGCACCTTTGACGACGAACCCCGGAGGCAGGCGCATAAACAGTTCCTCCTCAAGATCACCGTTCAGAAACGCGTCAGAAGTTCTTCCAGCATAGCCTTCTTGTCGCCATCAGGGCCACAAAGCGCTTCCTTCAGAGTTTTAGGCTCCCCCTGAATCCCAATTTCCACTCGATATACTTGAGTAGGCAGCTGACCCTTCGCAACGCATCTTCGAAGACATCCTCACCCGGATCCATAATGGCCTCATCGTATACCTCGGACAAACGTGGATTATTCGTCGATACAGGAACTACCACTTCGTTGCACTCTCTCATCGAACTGAAGCTGCTCAAGATTTTCAAGACTTTATTCCATGCCAGCGTGCATCCGGCGTCACTGGCGCCAACGATTCTACAACATTCCCCAGAATGCACCATTCCCCAGAAAAGTATGCCATGTATTAGATTGACAATTTTTGTTTATTATAGTCACTCCTGGAATCTTCTTTCGCGTATATAAAAAGAAGAGAAAAACTTCTTAATGGGTCAAAGGGTTTTGGGAGACCTTAATCGATCAAGGGGTTTTCCCTTGTTTGAAAATATAAGAAAAGGAAATTAGTAATTCTTTGGATATACGATAAAGAAGGGAATACTCGCTTCTTTGAATGTATAAAAAACATCATTAATTCGTTAAATATATGAAAAAGAAGGGAATATTCCCTTCTTTGAAAATATAACAAAGAGAAATAATTAATTCTTTGGATATACGATAAAGAAGGGAATTTCTTTAATATATAAGGAAAATATATAACCAATAGCTTTTCGCAAGGGACTCGGGGTAATGACCATTTGCGATAATAACGTGTGGAAATATGTTATAAGTTTGTAATCGTTAGTTCTGTAATATAAAACTGAAATATAATATCAAATGATCAAAACAAAGTGATAAATTACTAATTTCATCATCTTTTCTGGGGAATGTTACAGAATCTAAGCCAATATTTAAATTGAAGGAGCTCGGCTAGCTTGTTGGCTGCTGCTTTTGCTTACTGAGTAGAAGGCCGTGGGTTTACTCCCAGGCTCCTCCAAAATAAAACAATGACCATCGTCGCTTCGTCTGCTAAAGCGAATCCTGACCCATCTCCTACTCCGTAGCATCGATGGGGCAGTTGGCGTCGGTGAGTCCTCCCGTTAAGTAGATGTTACATTAACAATATCCGTCCTTTCCAGTAACGGAGAAAATGGGCGTGGCGGCAATGGTAATTGTCATGCTTTTCCTGTTCTGAACTTTGATTGGAGAACTATTCACCAAATAGTTTTCCTTAAGTCATCAAAATAAGACCGTTAAAGTAGATACATGACAGTTGCAAGTATGCAATCTACGAATTATTCCGTTGCAAACGCAACGCAACGCAAATCTTGACCCTTTACCAAAAACTATTTTGTCCTTAATAGCTTCATCTTTATGTCCACCAAACCCACACTGTCTTGCTAGAAGTTTTAAAGCTAACACGTAATTTATGCCTGTGCATTGTGCTTTATCCAGCCTTTCCTGTAATTTAGCTATCATATCTGCGTATTCAATTGACAAAATTTCTTGACCCGGATAAATAAGCTCAATTTAATCGAAAATGTTTTTTTTTTTCTATTATTCTCCACAATATTGTTTCATTGATACAAAATATCAATTCGCTTTATGTAACTAGCATACATAGTGGAGGTTATTCCGAGAGTCGAAGTGACTTTTGTCACTAGTGAAGTGAGAAAGTCATGTCGTGGTGAGGTGAGTCTCTGTGCAAATCAAATGGAGAGTCACGTCACCAGGACGTGATTTTTCTCACTTCACTAGTGACAAAAGTCACTTCGACTCTCGGAATAACCCCCAGTGATCAACACTCCCAATCAAATAAAGACATGCTGACGAAAATATTAACAAATGAAATATAAATACAATAAACCAAAGAAAATAGAACAGTGTGCAACGACTTACTTGATATTCATCCATTGTGCGCCGGCCGACGAACCGACATGCCAAAGGAGCATTTCGTTTGTCCACAATTCGAATTGTCAAACGAGCGATTTGAACTTTCAAACGGTCGATCAGATCTGTCAAACGAGGTGAGACGCAAACCAAAGCAATATAAATTATACGTGGGTTCGTGTCCTTGCTCATGATCGCGACCGGATGAGTAGATATTGGTAGTACGTATTTAAAATATGGCGTCTTGGGCACGAATTTGAAAGTAGCTTGTATAAACTGATGTTGCTATCATCACATATGTCATTATCTTTCGTTGTGCAACAGAACTCTCCGCGTCGTTAATCTAAATAACATTTAAGAGATTTTCAGCCTTATGCTAGTTAGTTTCTAAAAAAATAATTAAAAATATCGAGTATAACTTTGAACTTTAATTTTGAATACTCCTTCAAATTCCCTTATAAAAAGCTCGCTGATATTCTCCTCTCCATCCTCATAATACTTTCTTCGGAACTACATTGGGATTTATCTATCCTAACAATTTTCTTCAAATGCTTCTCAAACTTACCTGCAACTTCTTATAGAATTCTGTACACAATTCTTTAAAGTACCAGAATCATAAAGTTTTGTCCAAGCCAAAACTGAAATCTGAAAATGTTCGGTGTCTGGAATCGCGAGATATTAAATCTAATCGAATTAGAAAGGACAGTCATCACCCAAAGGACCAAAGTGAACAAGTAATTTTAAATCCGTCCTTCATCATTTATTTCCTGCAACGTCCTGCGGCTGCAGGATAGAAACGTGAGCTGGCAGTGCAACGGAATGCATTTTCCGCAAGTGTGCTCTAAGATTGGTCGCATACCGCGACTGAAAGCTACAAAGTGAACACCGGAACGATTTGTGTTCCTCTCGGACGTGCTTATTCCTGGCAAGAATGGTGTCGAAGTACCTCAGGCAGTACTGGCAAAGGTGAACATTTTTGGTGTGGATGACCAGGTGGTATCGTGTGGAGAAAGCTTTCGGGCAGTGCTTGCAGTAGAATATTTCGTCCGTGTCCGAGCGATCGAGATCGCTTTCGCACGGGAAACTTCCCGCTTCGGGTGATACGGTCGCTTTCTCAACCAGCAGAACGTTTTTCTCCTGCTGGTTGTTCACCTCGCGGGTGAAAATATAATTTGGTACAATTAAAGTCTTTTCAAGTTGATTGTCTTGCGAATCTCTTCGGTGAATTTTCTTTGGTGTTCCTGAATCGGATAGATCATCGGACTCCTTCCGTTTCTCTCTAAAAGAAATTGCCGAGTTGCTGGTGCTGCAGTTGCTGCTGCTACTGCTCGTCGTCGCCACATGCCTAAGGATGTTACTTACCTGGTTAGTCAGTTGAAATCGAGGCTTTGCGTGGTGAATTTTCGTCTGTTTGGGAGGTCCTCGATCCGAATTGGGTGACTCTGGTTCGTCTTCCTCCAGGAAAGGTTCAATATCCACCATTTGCATCGTCAGTCCTGTTTTGCCTTCTTCAACTTCCTCATCTGTATCAAGCATCGCGGCATAGTCTTTATGCAGCAAAAGTTCCGAATAGTTCAGCTTTCGACGAAACTCAACGCACCTTGCCAGTTCAGCGTAACAGCTGCTGCAGAGCATAATCGGTTCATCGATTGTCTCTGGTTTAATAATCTGGACAAATAGAGGCATCTTGTGCAAAATAAACGGACCACAAAAGAAATCTGTTACCTTACCTTGAACTCACCGAAGTAGTTGAGTGCTTCGATAATTGAGATGGAATTACTACAGCCGCTGCTGGCCATGCGCGGTTGACCTTGCTGATGGACCAGTTGATCGTCAAAGATATTGTAGGTGCCTTTTTCCAGGCAAATCCGACACATCCATCGTTCCAAAGTAATGGTATGAATTTCCATTACTATATGGAACACTTTAATCGTGAAACGTAGTTGCTATTTGCCACTTTTTAATCAAACTTAACGGCATAAAACGATAACAAATTGCGTGCGAACATTTTGCTACGACAAGGCAAGAAGAATAAAGATTGAATTCGAATTTTGACAGATGGTTCAACAACAAAATTCTTTTGTCGACTCTAACTCCCGCACACAGTTTTGTCGACTGGAAAGTTAACCGCATCCCTGCAAGCACTATACGGAGCCAATCAAATATTACGAATCGTAGAAGGGGGTGGGGGAAACTCGGATTTTGTTACACGAAACGAAAATCAATTACTTTATTCATGTGTTTCACTTATATATTTTTGCCAAAACATCAGCCTTATACATTCCAGAAGACAAACCACATACGTCCTATAAGAATGCATAAACGGTATGTGTGACGATTTATACATTTCATGATCTTTATTAACTTTTTGCAAGGCGTCTGCTTATTAGTTGACTTATACCATAGAAGTAACTCTACACGGATAGAAATCTCCTTATACCTTTTGGCAAATTTCTATTGCTGATTATTCATAAAATGTATAAGTCAACTAATAAGCAGACGCCTTGCAAAAAGCTAATGAAGATCATGTGTTGAATGAAATGTATAAGCGGTCACACATACCTTTTCTGCATTCTTATAGGACCTATGTGGTTTGTTTTATGGAATGTATAAGGCTGATGTAATGGCAAAAATGTATAAGTGAAACACATGAATAAAATAATTGATTTTCGTTTCGTGTAAGACCACTGGGACCCGAAGAAAATCATTATTATTTTTGGCTCACTCAGTACCAGAACAACGGTCCCAAGCAGTCCCAAGCTATTTCACTCACCCCTGCATGTTCTGCATGAATCCACACACCCCTGATGTTATCTGTCAAACTTTCATAGCGAATCAAAACAAACATAGTGTAGTAATAGAATTTCAACTAGAATAGGGTACGTTAATCGTTTGCTTGGGACCAATAGGCTACTAAAGTGGTGAGCCAATTTAAAATCGTTAGTTTCGTATTGATTGTTGGTTTTAGATACACAAAAATTGCACGAGTACATTACTATGGTGATAAGGTAAACACTCGTTTATTTGTTTCCTTCTGTGAAAGCATGTTCAGTCACAAATCGTGGATTTTCTGATATTCTCCATACTGCAAAAATGATTTTCCTACCACTGAAGGGGCGACATCTCTCGGATCTTCAGTATAGCTACTACTCAAATCATATAATTAATTGATCGTTTCAAAATACTGTTTAACGCAGGCGCAAGAAAATCCTAATTATTTTATTTTTCGTTGTGAAAATTACGTTGTCTGGTAGGGATGGATGGCTCTGACCTCAATTATGACGATTGTTACAATTTGTTACAGGGGGTGGGGGTTTTTCAAAAATAGTATTTTATGGATAACGTAATATTTGTACGCCCCTACATCCAATGTTTGACAGTTTGATTGTTTTGATACGCTTTTTGTGATATAGTTTCCTTCGCTTATCTTGTGATTACATGTAAAATAATTCTTCAAATTTATTATACAATATTGTGTTATTCATCATTGATTGTTTGTGTTTTAGTTTAGTTTTTATGTCGCTTACAAAACAAAGCATGGATTCTGGTGGTAAGATAATACACTGTTCTCGTACTGATGTTCTAAAAGCGTCTTCGTGCTCCTTCCAGACGGCCTAAAAATCGATGCAAATTTTCCCGCTCTGGAAGCGGATGAGGACCGTGCTTGGCGCGGTGTTCCCATGGATACAATTTACCGTGGGTTAGGTCGGTACGAGTTGCGACACTTTTTGGAGGTGCGCCCGGCCGAGGATCACGTCGTTCTGTACAACCTGCCAATAGATCCCAACGGAACGGAACCGCCGAGACCTCGGAGAGCCTACACCAAGTGGGATGCGAACCACGTTCGATTGCCTTGCTCACACCGCAGTCAGTATCCGGTTGAACAGGAAGATGGCAATATGTCTCTTGAGAGTCGGTGGGAGCTGGTGCAGAATGCACTGCTGCAACCGATTGGTAGCAGCAGGGAACTGGAAAATGCGATTCTATCCTACAATACGAAATATGCGAACAGTTGGAAGTTCAAATCGCTGCACAAACTCTTCGAAGAAGAACTAGAAGAGGAAGAAAGCGCAGGTTTTTTTGAGTACACATTGCCGAAGATGATCCGATTGGCTTTATCGCTTCCTGAACTGATTCCGGCGGCGATTCCACTGCTGAAACAGGGTAGTAACAAATCGATTTCCTTGACGCAGCAACAGGTCGCTTGTCTGTTGGCAAATGCATTCCTGTGCACGTTTCCCAGGCGGAACACTCAAAAGAAGAAATCCGAGTACAGTCTGTTCCCAGACATCAACTTCAATCGGTTGTTCCAATCTGGCGGCCAATCAGTGCTGGAAAAGATCAAATGCCTTTGCAATTACTTCCGGCGTGTTTGCTCGAGGATGCCCTCAGGGGTGTTGACCTTTCAGAGAAGATACATCAATCCGAAGCAGTTTGTGGATTGGAACAAATGTGAAGCAGTTATCGGAAGGGACACGGTTCCGATACATATTAATTCGGAGGGAACGATCGAGGACCAGGGCAGAGGATTACTGCAGGTTGACTTTGCCAATAAATATATCGGTGGAGGCGTGCTAGGTCATGGATGTGTCCAGGAGGAGATTCGCTTTGTCATCAATCCGGAATTGCTGGTCAGTAAACTGTTTACAGAAGCACTGAAACCGCAGGAAGCACTAATCATGATGGGATCGGAGCAATTTAGCGAATACAGTGGTTATGCATCAAGTTTTACCTTCGCTGGGGATTTTCAGGATGAGACACCACGAGACGCTAGTGGTCGAAGAGAGTGCTATATAACCGCCATTGACGCGTTGCACTTTGTGCAAAGCATACATCAGTATAGGGAAGAATTGATGCTCAGGGAGTTAAATAAGGCCTACGTGGGATACTATCATCCCCTATCAACACCTGCTCCAGGGGTCGCAACGGGGAATTGGGGCTGTGGAGCATTCGGAGGTGATGCCAACATGAAAGCAATGCTCCAACTGATGGTTTGCTGCGTACTGAATCGTCCTTTGGCGTACTACACCTTCGGAGATAGTGAGCTAAGGGATCAAATCTACGCTATGTATACGTTTTTAGTCGATAACAAAGTGAAAGTCTGTAGGTTGCTTCTCAATTCTAACGTATTTTTCTAAAGCAATAATCAACTTCCTCCTTTTCAGGCGAAATTTGGCGAACTCTGAGGGATTTTCGAAGGCATAGCCTGCCTCCGAGCAAACTTTACGCTTACTTCTACCAAGATTACTACGACAGAAAAAGCAAACCATCCTGCTTCAGCCTGAAAAGCTTAAAACCAAAGGAGAAGACTCCGGAGCCTGCAGTGAAAAGCCCTACTCCGGATCGAGATCTATTGGACGACGAGAACCTGGTAAATCTGATGACTCATCTAGTGGACAACGTCGAACCGCAACAGCAACCCTGTTCCTCGTCCTCGTCTTCACTCGATTCGGGTAAGAAAACCACAACCTCCGCAATAACACCATCGCCAAAGAAATCCTCTCGAGTATCGCTCATAGCGGAATTGGATCGAAACTACTATTCCGTTGGACCCGGTCCGGCGAAAAAGCTCTGCCCATCTACGTCCCCTTGCCCCACGGTGGAGAATGGCAACGGCAACGACGAAGGCGTGGAAGACAAATCCGTAAGGATCCAAATCGAGGAAGAAGATCATCCTGTGGTAGAGGCCGATGATGGTGCGGTCAAGTACGAGTCGGATACGGGTGAGTTTGTGGAAGGGACTCCACCCGAGGAGGTGCGGAAAAAGCAACAAAATAGAACGATATCGGATTATTTTTCAAAGAGTGGTAAGTGAGGGGAGAAAGGTTATTGCTGTTGACAAGTTTTGAAAATATAAACGCAGGATACTGTTATGTCCTAAAACGTTGGCTTTTGCTGCCGCCTAGTGTGAGATCACATTCGACACGGGATGATTCTTGGTCCGCAGATGGGATTCCGCGAGCTTGTCCAATTTGCGAGAAATTTTGCATATTGGCGTTGACGGGTGCCTTTACTTACGGGTCCGTCCCTCCGTCCTTCATACAATGGTAAATTGAATACGAGGTGCAAAGTCCATTGTCTAATGGATGTACCCTGCAACAATGAGTGGTATCCTTTACCTACATAAATTACATAAAATGCAAACTGAAAATTCGGCTGGATTGAAGTGTGCCGTGGCCGCTATTAGACGCGTTGGTTTTCGGTACTGGAGCTATCGGTTCTAATTTCGGCGTTGGTCGCGAGTTGTTTCGGCCGGTGAGGTGTTGGCGCTGCGTCTTCCAGACTGTGTACTGTTGAATGTTCAGTACCGGGTAATAGAATGTTGTCAACCTTTGTACATCAATCATCTTACTCTCGGAATAAAGTCAGTATTATCATTATCCCAGGAATCAACCCGCGTGCGTGTTTATTACATTGGCTACGGGGATGTGCAGCACAACCTAACCAACAAATTCATAAGCGGTCTGTCGGGAAGATCCCTGGATCGAATTTGAGAGAAAGATGAAAAGCCAGAGAGCTCGCTCTGAAGTATGAACAGGAAGAAGAACGGAAGAACGTTGAAGTGGAGCAGGTCAACATAGTTCGACAACGGTTGGACCGGACAAAACACAAGGAGTCGCGCCGAAAACCACAGATGAAATCATTGAGTGAAGAAGTCAATTAGTCTTATGTTTGTGGCATACGTGGCCACTAGACTGATGCAAAATTTGAAATTTTCGCTCCACAGTGCTCAAACGGTTCCAAATTGAGCCCTGATTAGCCTCAGAAAATTTGAACTCATTTAGTGAGAAACTGACTTGGCACAAACCATTTGAAGTTTATATGGAAATTACTATGGAGAAACCATAATTTCGGTTCTTATCTATCGCAAAATTCACCCGTTCACTCTACTTTAGAAAATGATAGCTGTTTAAAATTTTCTCAGCTACAACTTTGTAAAAGACCACTTTTCGATCAAATATAAGGAACAAAAAATATTAAGGATTCAAGTCACTGATGTCTTATGATTATGCTCAATCAACTGTTCAGCAGGCAACATTGGTGTTTATGGCGCGTAGAAGAATAGAGGACAAAAATCATGGCTACTATGTCACACTGCAGAATACAGTGTTGCCCACAATACAGTTGCTTAATCTTGCCACATGATTATCAATCTCTTAAACAATTAATAACTGTTTCATTTGAAGTTTGGCTGAAAAACGATTTTCTGCAAAGTATTAGCTGATAAAAATTCCCATAAGAACAGTAATAGAATTTGTTAACAGTACAATATGTAAAAAAGCTAGAAGACAATGAACAAAAGTTTTATTTTCCCATAGTAATTTCCATATAAACTTCAAATGGTTTGTGCCAAGTCAGTTTCTTATCAAATGAGTTTAAACTTTCGGAGGCTAATCAGGACCCGATTTGAAACCGTTTGAACACTGTGGAGCAAACATTTCAAATTTTGCATCAGTCTAATGTGCAGACTACCATTCGGGGTGAAACGAGCGTCGGAACCAGCTGTTGAAAGTTCGGTAAAAATTACCGAAGTCGGTAATAATTTCTAAGTGTGTAAAGGTCTCAAATGCACCATGCGCCTGTGCACTGAAGGCATCAAGCTGATGGTTCCAGCGATGAATTACTACAAAGCCGTCGAGGCGTTGTTGCAACAGAAAAAAGTGGAGTATTTTCCCACAATATTGAGACGACCAAGCCGCTCAAGGTGATCTTGCGTGGCATTCCCGACATGGAAACAGTCACACTGTCGGATGAATTGAAGCAACATAGACTCAAGCCGATCCAAACCTTCCAGATGAATCGTCATGACGCTTCACGTAAGTACCGCGACCAGCTGTATTTGGTCCACTTGGAAAGGAATACAACATGCTTGATGGACCTTCAGAGCATTGGGGCCCTTTTCCACATCGTGGTGATTTGGGAACGTTACAAGCCAATCCTGCAGGAGATGACCTGCATCGCAACGGATAAGCTTTTAGCTACATTAGCACCAGTCTACAACACCTACGTCCGGATAATCTCTGGCCTGCTACCGTCCACGCCCGCTGATGCTGCATGCATCGACGCAGGCATCCTGCCTTTCCGCTTCCGTATAACCGCAGCTATCGCAACCAAAGCCGCTGCTTTCATCTCGAAGACATCCGGAAATCAAGGGATCTTCCTCCTCGACGAGGGAAACAGAATCCTCCGCACGGCTGCCAACGAAGTGGTAAGGGCAAACACCATTACCGAAAATCGAAAGCCGGATTAAGAACAGGTTCAAAGCCGGAGACAATTCCGTGGCCATGAAAAGGACTATAGCTGAAATGTTAGGAGAAAAATACCCCACGCACACTCACCGATACACGGACGGATCTCGCTCTCGGGCCGAGGTCGGTATAGGTGCAGCCGGAAACATCACACCAACCAGCTGCAGCTTACCGCCGCAATGTTCTGTCTTCTCTGCTGAAGCTGCTGCCATCTTCATCGCTGTTACAACGCTCTCTATCCGACCGATCCTTCTTCTTCTTCTTCGCATTTCAAGCTTATTGCATATCGCATATTAGCTTATTGCGTGCTCTCAAATTAGTGTTCTAGATGCACTTCCACAGTTATTAATTGAGAGCTTTCGATGCCTGTACCATTTTTGCATTGATATGATTGTGTGGCAAGTCCAATCATACTTCTATGTCCAGGGAATTCGAGAAATTTTCCAACCCGAAAAATTCCTAGACCAAACCGGGAATCGAACCCAGCCACTTCCAGCATAGTCTTGCTGGTCCTCACGGATTCGCACAGCGTCATACAAGCCCTGACATCCGAGGCCCCGACTCATCCCTGGGTACAGGCGACGATGAAGTCCGCGCCACCAAACACGGTATTCTGCTGGGTTCCGGGACACTGCGGAATACCAGGCAACTCTGAAGCTGACTTTCTGGCTGGGGCAGGACCATCTGCCCCCCGCTATACTAACGAAGTACCGTTACACGATGTCAAGTGCTGGATCGTGAGCAAATTACGGGAAGCTTGGGACGCAAAGTGGGCCCAAAACCACTCCCTCTTCATCAGAAGGATCAAAGGGACGACGAGGAAATGGACAGAACAGTTGAACCAGCGGGATCAGAAGATAGCGTCGCGTTTGAGGACCGGTCACACCAAGATCTCGCACAATTTCGGTGGAACGCCGTTCCACAGGACTTGCGTCGGTTGTAGAACTCCAGCCTCAATCGAGCACATTCTATGCGTATGCCCTCAGTATCAGAACCTGCGCCACGGGCTTCCAATTAACATACGACATATATCACGACATGCTGGGTGATGATCCCTCCACACTGGCAGCAGTGATGCGCTTTTTAAAGGATGCTGCATTGTATTTTAAAGTTTAGTCTTTTTTAATTCCTTTCGCTTGTTGGGACTGTCGGTTTGCACAACCGTGTAACACCGATGCCGATTCCAGCAGTACATTTTCACCCAGTGCATAATCCAAACATCTATGTATCAATCACACAACACCCATACACGCACACTCACACACTTTGCTATGTATCACATCAAGAACAAATAAACGTTAGTCAGTAGTCGTCACTCAAAGGAGAAACACGCTCCTTAGTTTTACCACAAACGAAGTGACAGACGACTAACTGGCGAAGAAATCCATTAAAATAATGTGGTTCACTGTAATAGAATTTTCTTGGAAGCTTCCCGCATAAATCACAACCATAAGGTTACCACATTGAAAATGGTTTATCTTCCTGTGAAAACCATAATGAGAATGGTTCAGTCAACTTTAATCGAACCATACCTAGATAAAGTTTTGACCATATTGATTAAGGTTTTCGAAGACCTAACCATACGAATAATGGGTGGTTAAGAACGTTCACCATACGAAATCTCACTTTTTCCCATACATTTTTTGCAGAGAAACTATAGCCTAACCACATCAGAAAAGGTTCAAGTTGGAAATGTGAAACCTATTTCCATTAATGTTCGAATAAGGTAGTACGTTTTAGAACCAACCATTGTTGTTAACTTCAATATATACACAGCAAAAAAAGTTGTTGAATATTACATCGAAACTGCTGCAACCAGGTCAATCCATCAGTTGTGTAATATCACATTGTACGATGTACATCGATTTTGCGAACAAAATTACATCCATTGATGTAATATTGTATCTGCTTTTTGCTATTACATCGTTATTTCATACATCAGCTTGAATTACGTTGATCGATATTACATTTTTTTTTTGCTGTGTACTATGAACGGGTAGAAACGACCATACTTATTGACGTTATAATACTGTCGTAGTTTATGTGGAATTCAGCAGATATTGTTTGTTCTTTAATTTTAATGTGGTTTACAAGATTGCTTTTTGTGAATACCTCTCCCTTCACTTGGGAATTGTTTTTATTGTTCTTCATATAAACAGAGCACTAAAAGAAATACACCCTGAAATACGAACCTTCATTCTATTTGAACCTGCTTCGATTTCCTGTTTGGGTTAATGTGAGCCAGAAGAATCAAAATTTCCAACCCATGTAGACCGGTGTTTCTTATCCATGATGGCTGGGATTGTCAAAGGCCCTAGATATTTTTATAGGAAATACATGCTTTTTTAGAAATACTTTATACTTTAAGCTGGTATTACTTACGTTATTCATTTTTCTCTACGATAAAACAGGTTTTCCATTTGGAGTAAAGTTTTAAAAATAAAATAATAAAGCATAAAAAACACCGTGAACTCATGGCCGCCGTTCCAAAGAAAAGCATTTTCCTCTGTTTGTGCCAGTTGTAAAAACATAAAGCAACCATAAGCGAAACACGTAAGCATTGTACAAGTTGTATACAACTTTTATTCGTAATGTTTTGAAACAGTTCAATATAGTTTCGTAAAGTTGATCAAC